CGGATAGCACAACTTAATCGTGGCTGCATCCACATCACTACGGTTGCCTCCCCGTCTCTCAATATACTCATTTTTGACAAAATGACAGAATGATCGTCCGCGTGTGTATATGTGTGTGTGCATGAGTAAATTTCTTTCTTTTTTTCCTTAGTATTTTGATGTCTCAAATGAGATGAAATAAAGGACCTACAGACAGAATATACTCATTTTTTTAAATCTATTTTGGAAAGGTTTCTGGATCCTCTCGACCTGGAAGGGATCCCCCCCCCCCCTTCCCCCTCCGGCAGAACAGTGACGTCACTTCTCAGTGAAATTCCCCACTTCGGATTCTCAAAGCATTTTCGCTTCCTGAAAAGTGAAATACAGATCCGCCTCATATATTTAAGTTTACAGTTCGGTTCATCGGCATCTGGAGGGGAGACACGTCGCAGGAACTTTCATAATCTGGTAATCTCAACATCTGAGGGAATGAGGGGGCGAGAGAAACATGTTCGGACCAGAAAAGAAACTGTGTAATCCTTTTCCACAGGCATTCCAGATCGCCCTCACTGATATGCACCGATCTTTTCTCTACTTTTCAGGAAGAACTTTCACATTTATCTTGCAAAATCTTCCCCAAAACTTGAAAAAGCCTTACAGCCTCCTGAGACAACGGCCATATGATTATATCCTTGAACACGTCTTCAGTAGCCTTTCCAACTGTTAATCACATCCGTTGTGCATGGTTCATAAGAGCGACTCGCAATATTTACTTTCACACGGATCAAAACTAAGTCGAACAACAATATCCTCTAGAATCAAGTATGTCTAGGGTCTAGATACACTTGGATCGGTCGACGATACATTAGGATACCGAAGGTTTGCCCAACTGCATGCTAATGACAATGTTGAATTAAACCATAAAAGTGAAAGGAAAATCAATCTATGTTCCCAATGTTGAATTAGTGTTACCTTGTCAAACTCTGCAGGGATTCAGTGTAGAATCAATTATGTCTTCACTGGATTCGAGCCGCCATTGAAACAATATTGATTCTCATAACCGACGCAAGATGGCAGTTTAATCGCCGTTTCAGCGAGAGGAGAGCCATCACTTAAGTACTTGCACTGGACACGTACTTCCAACAAAGGGATTTCACTGTTGATGCATTGGGGAGAGCATGTGGAAGTAAAAAGAAAGGCAACAATAGATCGATTTTCACCAAAATCGATACGGAATGAAACCCCCCGCAGTAAACATTGATTAAATATTTACTTGTGTTAATAGAGTGGTTGTTTCTGGGCGCGTTCAGTTGTGACCATGTCATGACTGGAGGTTCATGATTCTCGGTAGGTGCGGCGCTTTTCAAAAACCGTTATACCCAGGATTGATGACATTGACAAGAGGTGTCACCATAGAGTAAAATTTATTTTGAAGCCTCAATGCAAGCGTTGGGCTGAGACCCTTATGTCATGACTCGGGTCACAACTGAATGCGCACACTTGCGAATTTCCACTCTTGCAACACTTTGGGATGGATTATGCAAAATGAATTGGAACGTTCTCTCTGAAAAGGAGAGAAATGTGAATCTGGGCGTTTCAGAGGAGGTAATCTGAAACATCTATGGGAAAGGATTACTTTGTCCCCCTTTGTGGTCTGGACCCCTTCATCCCCCGCTGCGAAGATCTCAAGATTATGGAGACTCGGCATGGATCCATATCACAAGGTTGACGGTTTAACTGGAGGCGACACTCCCACGAGGTGAGGGGACATTATTATAAAAGTATCACGGAGGCATCTGGTGGCCCCCAGTCAACAAACCTTCCATTAGGTTATGGTTCTTGGCAGCGGAATCGGGATTCGACTCATTCGAGAGATTCGACCGATAGAGAGTTCCTCGATGGGGATACAAGCGCCTCGTGGTCTATTTGCTCGACCGTGGAGCGGTTATTAATGGGAGTCCGTTACGGGGAGGGTTCACGGTGACATCTACAGGGTGACACGAAATCATGTGCCCGGGTCGTAGTGCAAGTTCCCGAATCGGTAGAAAGTCTGTTTTTTGTTCGATAGAGATTTGAAATCTGCGTGAAGAAACCGAAGTTGATTTCATTTGGTCGATTCTTTGCAAAATTATGGATATTTTCCTGCGTTTTACTTTTTTATCCAATGACAACGAAAAAAAAAAAACAAATTCAATAATCAGTAGGGTTACGATCTGCTGCCAGAATCGCCCGAATAAGAAACTAAGAAGAAAGAAGACTTTCGAATGGTGTATACGTTCTTCCACGTCGTCTTTCATGATTTCGTCCAAATTTCCCGTCGGGTTGCGGCGAGTTACCGGGCCACAAATCATTGCCCCAAATTTGAATTCCCTGATTACCTTTGATATATGCAAAACGGATTCTGTCGGTCGACCGGCACTCGAAAAATCGGTGAAGCATTCCATCGGCTCCTTGTTCCCGGTGTTTGAAAGCCGTCGAATCGATCGCCGCAGAGTCGTCGCCACCCGATTCCGATCGATGGGTTCAGCACTCGGCAAAAAAGTTCCAGCTAGAAACAGCGGGCTTTCCATCGGTAAATCTGACCCAGTTCGAGCAGGAACTGCAGCATTTCCAATCGGACTGTTTGTAAATTGGAATGCTGTTTCCAGCTGGAATGAACCAACGGGATCCGGCTGGAAATTCGCGCCGGATTCTCTCCTTTTCCAGTCGGAAAATCACAGAGAAAACGCTAACATGAAACAGCAGTAAGACTGTTCGGTGCAGCATCGAGTCGAACGCGTCTCAGACGAGTCTAAGCATGAACACATTATTGCGTGCGCGCATGTTTTGGCAGAGTCGTGAGAGCAAGAGGTGCTTTAACTTTGCAACGAATCGACTAAAATAGATTATTGTTGGTTTCCAAGCGCAGATTCTCTGGAACAACAAAAAAATGGAATTTCTATCTATTCGGGAACATATCATGCTTTCGACCCAGGGACATGATTTCGTGTCATCCTGTACGTATATTGCGACCCTGTCAGTGAATGGCGTTCGAATGGAAAGTCGCCCCTATTCATACTCTCCATACTCCTGAGGATACCGTTATACAGGATCCTATTTAGAAGATGTCCCAGAAAACTTTATATTTTGAAATGAGTAAGTGTTGAAACAGTATATTTTCTCTTTTCAAAACGAATCGCTCATATTTCAGAATCGGCAAACATAATTGTTTGAATTGATGAAACATGGCAGATCAGTGGTTCTCAACCGGTGGGTCGTGAGAGAAAGAAATGAATTAAAAGTTAAAGTTAGAGAGGTATCGAGAAGACATAGATCAGTCATAAGTGCCAAACCGACCTACAGGGCTATATAGATAGAGCTTGACTTCCCAGGAACGATCTAATCTTATTAATCCAGACTGTAAGGCAGGTTTACTGGCAAACATTTCCAAGAAGGGGCAAGCAGCTTTGAAATGTCTTTTTAATCATTCTTGCTCTTAACCTCCATGTCCAGTGACCTCGTCATTTCTAGCACTCCCTCTTGTTCCTCGGTGCCATGGGTAAGGGTGACGCTGTTTTCTTGCGGGCAGAAGCCGATGTTCATTTTCTCGATTCCGTTTCTCTGCTACCTGAACTATTCCTTCTCTCTCTTTTTCTTGAAGGGGTAGGTTTACGAAGTTCATCTCATCCATAATATCCGGTAGTTACTTACTTACGTTTAACATTCAAATGCAGATGGATTGTTTCCTGATAAAACCGAATGCAAGTGCTAGTACTAATGGTAGCACTCCTGGTGAAGTCACCGAGACAGAAGTCGGCAAAAAAGTCGAAACTAGTATCAATCCGGAAGTATAATGCTTCATACCTTAAGTATGGTTTCAGTGTCAGGAAGCAAGAAACCAGATTGAAAATTTGGTGGTGAACTGCTGGTCAATGAAGCCTTCAAATTTAAAGCGGGAATTAGATCGAAATCACCCAACATTGAAAGATGAATCTGTCGAGTTCTGTCAGATGAAGCTCGAAGAGAGGAGGAAACAGAAAATAACAATGAAGGAATGACCAGTGCCCAGAGCGATACATTGAAAGCGACATTTCCGCATTTAAAAAAAGTAATACTTTTTTTCTGTCCAATCACAGTCCAGCTGCAATATTTCTGGACGTTTCTAAATTTGTGGGTCGCATGAATATGGGAAGAGGACTTGATGGGTCGCGACATTGAAAAGGTTGAGAACCACTGACATAGACATTAGTTTTTGTCGAAATTGCGACAGAGAAGCGCCAAAGAGCAACCATGACAAACCATCTAGTACTAGAAATGACAGGAATCCAGGGGTGCCTCTTGGCTATGATCGGTCTCGACGCTTCCTCAAGAATAATTCGAATCTATCGTTGAACCTCGGCTTTGATCAGATTTGGACAATGAAACTTCATATATCTTTGGATGTACCTTATTTCTACGAGGAATCGGTTTGGGCAGACACCGCCTAATTCTGCCTCTTGCCCCTTCTTCATCATAGGACTGCTATTTCTTCTTTGCTCGCTCAAAAGGGTGGGTGCCTTCGCTACCAAATACTATTGTACCAAATTTAGGGTCCTGTTGTTACTTATATGGAACAGGCTGGCACAAGACGGTGCTGAAAAAGCGTTTCAAATGGCTTGCACTTTAGTCGATTTTATGATGCAAAACGTACCGCGATCGGATATTCATAATTACACAAGATGCCATGCCGCTTCCATAACTTAGGCATACTTCTGATTTCATTAACTGGTTGACATGCCTTTTCAGTGACCTAAAGTCTTGTAATTAAGCACTCACTTTATTAGCCTTGAACAAAAAAAAAACCAACAGTATAAAACTTCCCTTGCACAATTCCTAGTTCAGCCAGGAACGAAAAGGTTTTTGTTCAGTCTTTACATACACAATGAGACCAGTATGTGCAGATACAATGCAGAAGTAGTCAGAGCTATGATCATTTTATTCATAGGAGGACATGTTTGTGTTCTCTGTGAATTGTACTTCCAAGGACCAAAGCAAGGAAAAATACCTCATACAAAATAACACCACAAGAAAATATTCATACAATGAGACTTGAGCAATGTTATTGCCCTATAACTGAAAGCCCTGGATTTTAAAATCTTAACATAAACAATTCGAAACAAAATAAAAAATATAATTAGTCTAGAGCAGGGCCAATTTTAACTGATGCATTATAAGCCACTTCTTTCCAATGATCACCAACAAAAACTTATACATAATCTTGCTAGAATTCATCAACCATTGGTAAGTGCCTCAGAAGCTCCCCTAAATCCATCCGTGACAAACAAAAGCAGACATTCTCAGATGGTCAACTTCATCTATATTTTTTTCATCACTAATGGAGGGGATGGGATGTTCCAAGCTCAAATGTAAATATCCTCCATAGAGCCTTGAGCACATCAAGTCAGCAGGACTGATTAGGCTGATTTGTATGGGATATGTTTGCTTGTCTTCAATTTGCATAAAAATTCCTCTGGTCCTACTCTATTGCTCAAGAGTAGAATTAGAAGAGCCTCGGCCAGAAGTCTTAATTGATGTGCATGAAAAGCAGATCCACAGTAAAGAAATGAGTGTAAGCTCAATCAAGACTCCTGGATGGGGCTGAATTTGGAGGTGCCTTTATTACAAAGGCACAACTTGCATAGAAACTCATTTCCAAAATGGAGAAGTTTCATTGTGCTGTCTCCTGTCCCAAATGCAAAATATTTTCCTTCTTCCAATCAGGAAATTATTTGAAAATTCTTATAGATCAGAAACTGTGATATTTGAGCACTGATCACAAAGAAAGAAATATAGTATGAAAAAGAGACAAGCTATAACTCTTCCAAAAACTCTAAAAATAGCAACATAGCAAAAAATCAGAATGGCAAAAGTCTGGAGCTCAGGTGCACAACACTCTGAAGTATTAGATAAAGATCAAGCCATGGACCTATCACATCATTTGTGATGGCATGATTATGTCACTGAAGATGGTAGATGCACTATGGGAGGGGGAGAACTTTGAAGTCATGAGTTGGCTAGGCCGATCTCAGAAGGCCCTACACAAAATTGAAAGAATGAGTATACACACACAAAGGAAAATAACATGTCCTAATTCTTGCACAGAGGGCACTCATGGGATGCTTTGGCACATTTGTTGCAAAATGCCATATGGCCACACAAGAGGATTACTTCAGCTGATCTGGGAAGCTCTTCACAGGACACACACAACTTGGTCTGCTTCTGATGAATCAGCTGCATATAAAAGGGAGAGTAAATCAAGGAATTGCAGAACAATGTGGCAGCATATTAGCACCATTGGAATTAAATTACCTGCTCAATACTCTCAAGATCACAAGCAATCTGCATGCGGAGCGATCTGAGAGTTGGCAATGGCAGGGTGTCAAGTGATGTGCCTGGTGGAATGCCCACTGAGATCACTGAACCTGTTCCACTTCCATTTCCAGACTTTCCACTCTGGTGAAGGAGATTCAGTTGCTGCATAGCCTGTCATATACATAAAATAGGCATACCATTATACTAACACTCTACAAAAAATAAAAAAATATATATGTAGTATGGCTATGTAAGTTTTTTCAATGGAGCCCCCATTTTAGTCTTTTTTTTCATAAAACCACAAAATGTAAATAAATACATTACAGAGTTAATCTCAACCATTGGCCTAGTTGAAAAAGTTGGGGATAGCGTAAGAGGTAAAATCTCATTTGGAAACCCATTTTTAAAAAGTAGCTGGTGCTTATGGAAGTGGAAATTCTTCCAGCTCATTAATAATGGAGGATTCCATAAACTAATCCTAGAAAAGATAACTAAGAAATTCATTATGCATTTCATAACATCAGCCATACATGCTAACAGAACTGGAAGGAGGGAACCACAGGCCTACCTCATTCTTCTCCTGCTGTGCTTGCCGTGCCTTTTGATTGGCTTCCTCTGCCTCTCGCCGCCAAGCATCACAAGCAGTCCTAGCCTGGGCAATGCCTTCCTCCCAAGATGCCAGCTTGGCTCGATTGGCCCGCAATTCTTCCCTCAGTCGCTGGACTTCCAAGACAGCAGGAAGGCTGCCTGCAATACCCCCCCTCGCTATCGGTGACCCCATCATCATTCCCTGATCTCCAAACAGATTTGAGGATGGGAGACTTCCAAAGCCATGCATAGAATTGACCATGTTTGAGGAATGGCTTGCACCCAGGAGTCCTCCTCCAGATGCCTGGTGCTGTGAGAAACACACATCTCAACTTAGAAAAAAATTGAATACACTAGAGGTTTCCAATGGTACAGCCAGAACTCTGGTTGGGAAGAGATGAGAAAACAGTGGGAGGAAAAGAAGCATCTCATCAATTCCTCCATGATGGAACATTCCATTTTCCACAACTGTCTATTATTGATCATTTCATCTCTTAGTCGACCACACTCAAATAGAATCTACTGGATGGCCTTCCCTGAGGTGTATGATGATCAGTGGAAAGGCAAATAACAGGAAAAATATTCTCAATCTTTGAAAGAGCACCCACATTAGAAAAAGTCCACTGTGTACTCTGTACAACTATAATTATAGAGCCCATTGTTGTAACAATGGCTTTAACAACTGGTAGGTCAATAGGGAATCATGTTAGACAAACTGATGGTCATTCCTAGTGGCTCAGGTCAGGATTATGTTCAACTGGAGGGGTCAAAGAAGCTGGTCTCAAAATGCTTCCCAGCCATCTCATTTCCATTGAAGGCAAGTGTCTTCTTTCTTTCTTCCTAATTTCACATACATACAAAAATTTCAGGACTTTGGGAGGATTGAGCCCCTGATCTCATCCCCTCTACCAGGCTCTATCACTGATCATGCACCCACAATCCACATGCCACTAACCTCAATGGGATTGCCCTGAGACTGTGGAAGAAATCCAGGAGGGGCATTGGATACAAGGGGAGAAGATGTAGGACTGAAACTTCCCAGCAGACCTCCTCGATGATCTCCTCCACTTCCCATCCGTGCTCTGGGTATATTCACTGGTGCAGTGCTTGACTCACCCAACAGTCCTGCCATGCAATGGTCATGGAATAAGAATTACGAAGCCAAAATGTATGGGTTGAAGCAAGCAACAATTGGTACTTCCTGACATGTTAACAAAGCCCTAATTACAACTTAGAAATCACACAATGAAAGTGAATTTCCTCTTCATTTGAAGCTGACAATGTCACAAGCATTTAAACAGACCCCAAAACTGTAGCCTTAAAGGGAGTACATAAAACAGCCTCACTGGGACGAGATAGATGATTGGACAGACTTGAATGATTGATTGAAGGTACATCAGATGCATCAAGACTAAGCTCCTTCTCCAAGCTTGTAGCTCCAAGAAATAGTGGATCATCAATATGCAGATCATCCAAGGCATTCCCTGATCAAATAAAATGGTCAAAGTAAGGAAATGTGAGATATTATACAAAGAGAGGTGAGGGTGAACCCAGGAGTGAATCTCCATACCCAAGACACAATCTAGAGTATCTCGACTGGGAAATGAGAAAGATCCCAGTGGAAAATTTGGTCCAGTGGATGGGGCAGAACTTGACTGGCTTCCTAGAAACAAGCTGCTAAACCTTGGATGCATTCCTCCTGCCTGATCATTACCTGAAAAATGCCGCCTCAGACTGGCCTGCAACAATTGTTAAGCACAGTGAATCAAATGATTCCTTTTAATCAAATTGTTACCTTGTTTGTCTCAGGGATTGGGAAACAATACTTACTTCTTTGTCTTCACGTTCTGAACCAGGTGCACGTGGGTATGATGGCAGTGGAGCACTTAAATCAATGTCTTCTCCAAGACTCAAGCTGTGACTACGTTCTGCTCTTCCAAATAGTCCTCCCTCAGCATGGTGACCCAGACCATCAGTGAAGGCTGAAGACTAATGAGACCAGAGATAATTAAAAATTACTTTAGCCATTATGCAACATCTAAATACATTCTCAGGGCATGTCATGAATGTTTTGCTATTTGCATTTTCCTGCTGCCAAAGGAACAAAGAGTACAGTTAACAGTACATTTGTCAGCCAACCCAATAAGTTTTACTCTCTGCAATGGGTAATCCTGGTGATTCACCTGAACCCTTTATTTTCTCATTCATAATCAAACCATGCTGTACCCTCATCTCTCTCTCCTCTTTTTAAGAAGGGTCTGCCCTGAGGGAATAGACTACCAAATGGAATAGATTGAGAAAGTTACCAGAAAGTGAAGAACATACATAAAAAAAATAAACCTTCTGCCACTCACTATAGTTTACTTTCTATTTGGCAATGCAAATATACTTGAAGTGAATTTCTCTGAGGTCTCTCTACAGCAACACCATCAGAGTTTTCTGAAGGACAGTCTGACTTTCAGTAAAATTTGTTCTATAGTAGTCCAGGTTTAGTCCCACAACCATAAATTGTTTCATGAGAAGTATATCTTCTCAACCAACCAAGACTACCCCAGCTTCTGCACTGGCCTCTCCTTCTCGACATGGGGGAAGAGCACTAGAAAGAATGTCTGCAAGGCTTGTGCCACACTCAGGTACAGTTGAGATCTCTCTGGGTCCAGCAATCTCATCTACAATCACCAAGTACAATTTAAAAATATACCACTATCAACAGCTGAAAAAGTCATTGACAACTGGACTCACGGTCAACATGTGCAAAGGCACAGAAAGCTCCCCGAGGACAGTATCCATTCTGCTGCATATCATTACATTTTGTTGATTTGTAGATCTCTGGATGAAACTGCTGCTCTGTCCGGGTATGGCAGTAACCACAATTATCACCATTTTCACATTGGGCTGGATCACCCCATTCATCACTCGCTTTCACATTTGGGCACGGTGTTGATCTGTCAAAAGGTACTGGATAATTTAACTGAGAGGATCCCTCACACATCCCTGTTAAATTATGAAAATTCCACAAATGACCATTCCTATCCCAAGCAAACTTCCACAAAAATCATTCCTCCCAAATCCACCTTCCTAGAATTCCAATTTCCAATATGACTCATATACAGCTATAATTATACACACATAATATTACATGAATAGTATACATTCAGTAAGCAAACATCAAAGATGCCAGATGAGGGAATAAGACTCAGTGCATCATGGGGCCCATATATTCATGACATCAGGTAGTTCAAGGGATTAGGGCAGTCAGCCTGGATAGGATCTCCAGAGTAAGGGACACATCATTGACACTCCAAGTATGTCTACTTACTCTTAGGACATACCTTCACCACACCCACCTTTGCTATACAATTTCTGCCCCCCTCCCACTTTCCCTGCTCCTCTTCCTTTGCTGGCAGTTAGCAGCCTGGATGTCTGGGCACTATCAACCACAAGAACAAGTTGGGCAAAAGCCCAATCCAGTAGCCTCTTTTCAGTTCACTCAAAAAAAAAAGGGGGGGTGTGAAGAGTAAAGTGAGAGAAGTAGAATACAACAGAATTCTTAGAGATGGTTGATTGTTGACAGAAGTAGGGTTGACCATTGACAGTCATAAATGCTGCTATAGAGTCATTTCAAACATTCAACTGAACCATGCTGAACTATTAAGCAAAAATAAAAAAATCATCTAAAATCATTGTGAAAATATTGTCCATCATATCCACAACTATTCACAACACTAATTACAGGCAGCAAATAGCCTTCAGGGAGCAGAAAGTACTTTAAAATTAACCTTGAAGCAAGAAAAATACCCAATATGCTGGAGCAAATATCGGAACAACTACCTTTAAAAGTTTTCATGGTCCTAAGGAAAATCTAGCTTAATGAACAGAGCTAAGCCCTCTACTTTTGTTGGACATGTCATATTGGTTGTAATTAAGAACTGCACTCAAGAAATATCTACAGCATAGGGTGTGGAGTCGTATCACTTTATTGCTGGAAAAAGGGAAAGTATGGCCAAGTTCTACAATTACAGAATTTAAAAAATATTACATTTGGTATGTAAAGCTACTTTCTTCCCCTTCATATTCCAAAACAATATTCTCAGAAAAGCTTGAAGGCTTTGGGAACCATGAATTAGTATGTTGAGGCAATGGAATCATAATTATCATTGGAGGTCTAAGAGGTGGGCTGCTTCCTAAAATATAAAAATGGGAGTAGCATAGCTCTACAAAGCAAAGTACCAACAAGATAACAAGCTTCAAGAAAGAAAAATGAATCATCTAGTGGGGTAGGCTTGTTTTTGATAAGAGTCAGTCGGATGAGAGCCCAATTCTGACCTGGATTTCAACATGGACAAAAACACTTTTACATTGCTACCTGAATCCTCACAATAAAACCTTAACCCTTTCATAGTTATACACTGAAATATCAGTTGTGCCCCAGGTTGATTTAAGAAAAACTTGACCATGAAAGGGTTAAGACAAGTCCCATTAGAGGTAGTATGGGGGGCACATTTACTGTAGCAATGCCAAACAAAGGACTGCTCAACAAAATGCAGCACATATGTAGGCATGCACAAAATCATGTACAAAACAGGAAAAAAAGACCCTCAAATACACTGTGCAGTTTCTTTCAGAATAAGGAATTGGAATTTGATAGGCCATGCAAGGCAGGACAAGCAAGACAGAGTACTTATGGGAGGAACTCCACTCTGTAGGAGAAACATTGCATTTCCAAGTACCCAAAGGTGTTCTATTTACTTTTATCCCCAAAATGATCTTGTCATAAATATCACTCAACTCCTTCTTGACATTGCATTCTTATGCCAGTGAGTATATAAATACAATACAGGCTAAAGCTGTAATGCATCTCCAGAAAAAGTAGCACCTTTGCAATCAGCAGCTTTCTCAGGTCTGTTCTGCTTGAGAGATAACATTGGCAGCTGGAGTAATGCATAAGACTCTGAGCATGATAAACCATTGAAGAATATTTATTGTTCTTCCATTTAAGTGGTGATAATAAATCATTAGATGCAATGAAGTGTAAAATTGAAACAGAGATTATTCTCAGAGTTCATACCAATTCACTTCCAATTCCAAAAATTAACATACAAAGGCAATTCAAATTGCCATGCTAGACAATGGAATCAATCTGATTTTGCAATTTCAGCTCCAAAGCATTTACCCACATTGGATTCAATGAAAAATAAGAGTGGGACATACCTATACTTATGCTTCTTGGGACTACGGCGTTTATCACGGTTATTGTGATATTGAGGACAAGCATAGCCTTGCCTGCACAATCTTGGGGGACGCTTGCAAGGTTCAGTCTTGTAATTGACCAAGACATAATTTGAATCTGAAAAGTAATGGTCAAACTCTATGTAAATAATTAATTCAAAGGTATGTATGACTTTTAAATCTAAAAGGAAAGGGACACACCTTGCCATTTTGGATCATCATTCATCATGTTTCTTTCTTTGTCCAAGTTATTAGGACCAAATCCATTGTGACCATCTCCATCTGGACCTTCCATTAAATGTAGTTCCCGGATGTCATAAACTGGAGGTCTTTGGGGAAAAATAAAAACACCAATTTCAAGCATTTCAGTTAATAAAAAATAAATAAATTATGACTAAATTACTTAAACTCATACATCTAGAGAAAACATGGTTGTAATATGATTTGAATAATACAAAATGTTGCATTTTTTTTAACTTCACAAGCATATGACTACCATTACTTTGACACACTAGAATATTTCAGGCATAGTTCAGTTGGCAAGGACAATGCAGCAGTTCTACCCCTATATAATACCTTGATCAGAGTAAGAGAATCCTGTTTATCGGATACATCCATAAAAATATGAAAGCCAATGAAGGGGTAGCACAAGGAATAAGAAGAATGCTAAGCAAGTCATGGGGTTATCCTTCAACAAAATGGAGGATAAATTGGATCCCAAATCTCCTCTTAAAAAAACTGTCAAGCCTAAATGATCCATGCAAGAGATCTAAACCCTTTTTGTGGGCCATGAGAATCATTTCCCATTATACATATTCTTATCAGAGCATTAGAAAGCCTGCTTCCAACCAATACAGTTTTATATCAGTGGGAATTTGGTATTGGTCATGATTTGTCAATTGTTCCACTAAAGATTCTAATAGAACGTTTCTGTTTAATTTGTTTAATACAAAAAATAGGGAGATATGACAAGTTTCCCATATAAAAATTGCTTATGAAAGGGTTCTGAAAGTTCTGTTTCCTTCATAGGTACTCATATTGATGTCAGTCTCCAATAATATCCATTTTTAATTTATGTGCCAGTCAAGAAAATCTGCTTGACAGCCAAACAATGGCAATATGAGGGTGAAAAGGAAATGACCAAGATTGCCTGCCATACAAACACATGACAATCTGGGTATCCTCTCTATGGCAATTCAATGCAGAAAGTCCATGAGAAAAGCTGTAAAAGAGTTACATTTCCCTGAATATCCATCCAACAAATTTTGAAGGTGGACTTGGGCAGTTCCCTGCACAAGATCCATGCTTTACAGGAGTTTGAATGAGGCCTCCAGATTGCATTCTTTAACCCTACAAGGACTAAAACTATACATGTATGATTTCAAACTTGACATGTTAGTTTACCTGCATCTCCATAGATTGTTTTGGCTTGTCATACTTGAGGGTTGTTTACACCTGAAAGCATCACCTTCATCCATTATCAAAGATTACAAGTGACCTTCCTTGGAAAGGGCTCTAATTTATCACTCAAATGTATCACCCCATTTCTTGTTAGAAAAAAAAACTCAGTTCTGCCTCACCATTATTGACTTTACCTGGTCTGGGACACATTCAAACAGCTATTCTATTATAAGGGATCAAAAAATAGATTGATTGAAGTACAAAAAACAGAAAAATGAGTCAATATCTTTGCATCATGCTGCAACTGTCATTACATTCAAGGGGTTGGTAAAAATAAAAAATAAATCAATTGGGGGAATTTGGATGAACTACATGCCTACCCTGATCAAGAATAAGGATGGCAAGTTGGGAAGTGGAACACATCCAACACCAAGCACTATAGAGTATACCATGAGCAAGGGAAAAAATGAAACTGGCACAAATAAGATATAAGGGAGAATGGGGGAAAAAACCTTAATATAGGACTGATAGAATTCCTTCCTTTCATCCCATTCCAACCTTTAAAATTCCCTCTCTCACTAAATGGGACCATTCATAAGATTGAACAACCCTTTACAGTCTAAGAAAGCATATGAGAGTAGGGTCTACAAGAAGTTACATTACAACCAACCTGATTTACATGATCTTGAATTTCTGTCATGTCTAATTCTCTGTGAGTTTCATTACTATCACTTCTTGAGCAGGGTTTCTCAACCTGGGACTCAGGTATTTTGGGGATGCTCAAGCTCAGTATACATGAGTCACACCCCTTTTCAATTTGATTGACATACATACAGGGTTCATACAAAAATCTGTGTTCTTGAATTGTACTTTATTGGAACTCTTGATTTTGGGGAGTCCCCTTCAACAATACAATGGAAAAATGGTTGAGAATCCCTGTTTGAGAACATGAGGAATGTATGGATTTTAAACGAAGGAATATAAGCATGTCATAACTCAAATATCTATGCTATGCCTACTAGTCTCTGATTCAGCCCTCTTGATGATGTTCAAGTAGGCTAATGATTCAGTACAAGCTAAGTCTGTGTTGTCTGACCAAGGTCAATGAATGTCTCACCTGAGGTCTTGAATGCCATGTGCAAATGCACAATGATGCCCATTCTTCACACAGAATCCACGGGCATCTGTATCATGAACACACATGCCTGTCTTATAGTACCGCAAATGGTAACGACGTTCAGTGTCTCCTGCAACCCGATGCAAATATGGGCACCTAGAAATGTGTTACCACCATAATTGACAAAAAGCCACACAAACCATGGAGCCCATGCCTTAAACATCTAATGGTTTTCATTTGAGTTAGACACTTTTTTCACTTAACTCAGAGACATGTGCATGGGATGTTCCTCACACACGAGTGTCTGAGTCAAATGAAAAATTGATCAACTTGAGTGAAAAACACTTATGACTGGGCAAGTATGGGCAAGACCCAACTCACTCATCTCCATCTTCACACAATCCAGTTGTCTCGTCGTACTTCGTGCAATAGACGTCAGGGCTGTAATTGAAGGTTCCTTCTCTCCTTCGAATCGGACGTCGCCTTCGCTGATTCATGAAGTGCCAGTGAAAGCATGTATAGGGACGATGCTGGGTGCACTTGTGTTGCAGAAACAGGTGACATTGCTCCACACGAAATTCCTTCAGATACCTTTAAACGAAAGACCCCGATTTCCTTCAATCGTATGACCCTAGGGAACCTACAGGCCACAGGTTTATGTTTCTAAGATGGGCCTATTGCCCATAAGCAAAGTTGGAACGCTAGGGACTCAAAGCCTTTTTGAAATGGGACGTGACGCCACAACTTACGTGTAATGAAGAGGTTTTTCACTTTGAGCTTGTAGCAGAGCTTTAACTTCGGAAGGCATTTTGCGAAGTTAAAAAAAAAAGAGCTAGGCGTACGGTAATGCGCAGAAAATGGGCGCACTGTAAGAAGGGGACGCCATGTGTTATTGGGGCTCGGGATTGGCTGGCGCCAACCGACTTCCCACTTCCTTTGCGAAGGTCGCCGTAATATCCACTGACTTAGTGCTTTTCACTTAAATCAGGCAATTTTTCAATTGATTTTGGCCCTGCTGCATGAGATCCCATGGATGAGTGTCCAAGTCAAGTGAAAATTTTACTCAGGTGAAAAACGCTGCAATAATAACGATAATAATGAGCGACTGCTCATCATGTGTAGCAGCAGTAGCTCGTCAAAGGTCAAAATCGCCACTGATAATGCTTGAAAATTAGTCGTGTGTCCAGGGAACATCTGCGCCTGCCATGAACAAGGAAATGGAAAACCACGAAGAAATAATCGTAGCGGATCGTAGGTGGGATTCGACTTTTGACGAGTCGACTGAAATGACTTGGAGATGTCCCTGGGATTATGCCATTTGTATTATTTCAATGCCTGAAACCCATTTTATTTCCATGATACATGCTTGCAATCGAAGTCTGAAAGGCATCCAGCTACACCTGGGATCAACCCTGAAAGAAAGTTATGGGAACGTCTAAGTCCCCTTGGGACTAGGCTCCAATATAGCAGGTGTCGACTTCCATTCATCACTGTACAGTCAATGAAGCCATGTAAAGAAAAAAAAAACTAGTCACAAGGTTCTCCCCTTTGGTCGGACCCTTGTCAGAAGTAAGTCATGGTGGATGTGAATTGCTGACGATGGAAATTTTCGAGCTGCAGGGTTAACGAAAAAAGTGGAGTCAGTGAATTTCTCGTCCTTGCCACCCGCCCGTTCCTGGTAGAGCATGCCTGAAAATCGTCCACTTTTACAAAACTTGATCAATACCTATGTTCTTCCATTGTCCTTGTGGCACTGAATTTCGACAAGATCTTGATTCACATCTCTCATGAAGGACAAGAATCTGCCCAAAGTGAAAACTTTGGAAACGGTTTTCCACATTTGTTAACATCTTCCTCATTTTTCTTTAATGCAGGAGTAGTCACGTTTACGATATATAGGCTGCAAGTGCATGGGAAAAAGAGAGAAAAATTATCGGAATAACATGGAAAGTATATTGTTTACGATTCGAGATTAGATCGAGTTCGCATGTGTTCTTGCGTAAGTCCTTTCCGCATTCCAGGGGCCTGTTCCTCACGTCTGCTAAACTTAAATCTAAATCTAAATCTAAAAGCAGTCTAAAAGCAAAAAGTCTATTCTTCGCCCTGACCCTTTAGCCTAAGATTTAGATTTAGATTTAAGTTTAACAGAGGCGAGGAACGGGCCCCAGAAGTTTGTGAGTTTCTCATGTAGCCACAGTCCGTGTGCCCACAGAGGATCTAATGTGATGCAAAGCAGCACCCTTCCGCTTCCTCCCCCCCCCTCTCTCTTTTTTTTTTTAAGAATCTGTAATATAGCTAATCAAATAGAAATATAGTTTTCTTTAGAATTTGACTTCAAACGCATTTGGCATCATGATAGAATTTTCCTTTTTTTTTCTGTGAGGTTCCAGCGACTTCACAGGTCGAGGCAGATGCGAGGGATTCAGACGAGAAAGACCTACACTGGAATCAGCAGAGGACATTTTCCATACCAGCTTCCAAAGGCAAACTCCAAAAGAGAAAGGCAGGGGAAAGGCAGTAAAGGGAAACCCCCCTTCTCTTATGGTCTGAGAAGCCAGTGGCGGATACAGGGGAGGCGACCGCCCCCCCCCCCCCCCCCCCCCCCCCCCCCCCCNGTTAGGGAGGAACGGGGGGGCCGCCCCCCCCCCCCCCCCCCCCCCCTATGGCTAAGTTAGCATTTGATTTATTTATTCCAAATAGCATCTGCATTAAATTTTATTGGAGCCAGTAAAATAGATACTCGAGTTCTTACCCCAGACGAAAAATTTAAAAAGGCGAAAGGAGGAGGAATGTTGGTAGGCGGGGAGGGGGAGGGGGGGGGGGGGGAGGAACTTGGGAACCGCCCCCTATGAAAAATTTCTGTATCCACCCCTGTGAGAAGCTCAACTGGTTCTGGCTGGCCAACACGAAACCACTTAACGGAGCAAGTCGCCATGATTTTACGAATTTCCTTTCCAATTGGAACGAGTAACTGCTGGTGTGGTTCCAATTCCCTTCTGTCCATAGTTGGAAAAGTTTTTGAATCCCCTATAAACTCCCGTTCGGAGTTCTACCTGAAATAGAAGGCCTTGATCACGAGCACGCAATGTGGCTTTCACCCGAATGGGATAGTTAGGAGCCCTTCTGGTTGTGACGTTTTTCTCTTGTCTTTTGACATATTCAGAGCTTTTGACGGTGTGGCAATGAGACGAGCTGGATAAAGCAACGAAAACTCCCACGAAGTCACTGCATGCCTCTCGATAATAATAAATAAATAAATAAATAAAGGTGTGTATTGAATTGATCATAAGGCGATCGAGAAGGATAGAACCCGGGTCCTCATAGTCATCACTTTCATCCCTCTGGTCTAAAATAAAAAAAAAACCTGGATAAACTCACAAAACCGATGGTGGACGAGGAGACAATATCCTTGTTGCACAATCCCCTTTTGCGCCGATACATAAAATATTTGATACGTGTTTACTCCTGAGGAACGCGAAAGTTGTTCATAATGTATGGAGGAGGGGTGGAATTTCCGGTCTCTCTCGGCGGATCCCCGCTATTTCGCAAAGTAAGGTGTGCTCCCAAAAGGGGAAGGTTCATGTTTCGTGCCTGATGCATCATCATTGCATTGCGTGCTTCGGTGCATCACTCAAATGCAGGCGATGTGCAGGGTACTACACTTTTGCACCACTAATTTCTATGATTTTAGGTAGACTTTTCTGCGATCTCTGTGGCTGAGCGCTTCCTGGAAAGAAAACAACAGCTCTCAATCAAGACACCCGAGACCAATCGCTTCTAAACGGAATTGGTCGTGTAATCAAGTGCAGCCATGAGAAGAGACATCCTATACTCTATTATGTGCACAAAATTGAGAGGCTGTGGTATTGATTGGTAGTTGGTAGGTAGCACTGATGAGAATCATAAACCCATGGACGTGACGCCATCTGTGAGAAACGAAAAGCACCACGTGTTTCCTAATACAAGGCCGCAGTGAGGAGCGTCGCCACTTGGGGAGGGGGGAGGTAGGGGAGGGGAGGGGCTGGCTTCCCTCACACCTTAAGGATGTGAAAAAAAGGTCTAATGATCAGGAGTTAAAAAATAATTTTTAAGAAGACTCTCCTTTAAGAAGCTCGATATATGAAATCTTCCGCGTCCTCCCTTACTAGTGGATGCCCTAAATTGGATTCGTTAAAGACTTGCACATTGAAAGAAATGCCTCTTGACGTCCTCCCGAAACCATGAATCATGAGGTTGTAACGAACCACGAGAGGAAGGAAAACAACTCGTTATTTAGGCAATAGAAAGCAGCATGGTGCAGTGGGTTGACTGCTTTGTCGTTTCAGGGTGGAGTGCAGAGGAAGCGTTCCTCTTCCCGATATGGAAAGCGGGTTTGTAGGCCTCTGCTGCGCGCCCCTTTTCCTTTATTTTCGCAAGCTCTCGATGCGAGCTGCGTTTCGAAGGCTCTTTCGAGTCGTTTACCTCGTATGAGAGGAGGAAAAACGAGGGAGACCGAGAAATAAGAAGCCTAGTTGGGTAGGCCGATGTTCGGTCTCCCACCCCTCGCGCTCCTCAATCATGCTCCCTATATCGATCCATTTGATCCGAGGGGAGGGGGGGGAGAGAGAAAGCGTCAGCCTATATGCCAGTTGGAGGCCGGGCTTCACCCCGGACGCATGCCTGAGATCGTGCGGCCATGACTTCTTCCTTTGCAACCGTGCAGGGAAACAACAAGAACCAGCCTACTTCGGCTTCCTTTCGCCTAAATTCGAAGAACGGGATCTTCAACATGGGAAGCCTGTCCGGGAAGGGAAACAGTGTCGTGGAACGCATGGCTAATGCATTCAGCAAGTGCAGTGCTGGTGTCGGTGCCAATATTCCGCCTGCTGCCAATAAGACCGACAATAATGCCCTGCATGCAACCGCGAATAAGTCCCCTCCGGCCGTTCCCGAGAAGCCGAGTCGGATCCAGAGTCTCAAAAATAAACTCGGCAATAAAGTGGCCGTGGGGACGGGGACCTACGGGAACGGTTTTTTCGGTCGGAGTCCGAAACCCGTAAAGAAGATCATCAAGATGCTGGAGATCAGGACGAAGAAGTACGTGACGTGGTCCGAACTGTGGCAGGAGGAGGAATTCCTCCTCCGGTTCTTCCAATATTTCGAGCCAGCGGAGAGGCGCGATCTGGCACAGGTATGTCGACGTTGGAGGGACATCCTTTACACGCGGTCCAATCACTGGAATTCGCTCGTGGCCGTGCTGGAATACAAGAGCCTCGGCGACTCGGATCCGAACGGGAACGACGAGATCCGAATGCGTCATTACGAGAGCATTCAGACCCGAGGTTTCGACGCCGTCTGCCTCGTCCAGGCCACTGATGCGGACGTGAAAGAATTGGCCGGGTTCTTGAGCGACAGGGGTTGCACCCGTCCCATTCGCAGTCTATCTTTCCGCCGATCCACGGTCACCGACGTCGGACTGCAGCACTTGATGGAGTTCTTGCCGGCCCTTCATCAGTTGGAGATGATCAGCTGTAACGAGGTGACCGAGGCGGGGCTCTGGAGCGCCTTGAGCCCCAAGATCGTGTCGCTGAGCATTAGCGATTGCATCAACATCGGAGACGAGTGCATCCGTGCCATCACGCACAAGTTGCCGTCTCTCTACGAATTCAGCATTCAAGCTTACCACATGACGGATCACGCATTGGCGTATTTTAGCCCTAAGCAGACCAACACGTTGAGCATCCTCAAACTTCACTCTTGCTGGGAGATCACGAATCACGGACTCCTCAATCTCGGTAGGACTACGCACCCACTTTCCCTCATTGTTTTGTCATATGTGGGAATTTTTTTTTTCTTGTGACAGAAGAGTATCTGTTTTTGTCACTTGGGGAAGACAGACTAAGGGGGGAATGTTCTTGTGGCAGTTTTTCGTTCTTGGCCTGGGCCCAAACACGTTTCGACACGAGGGGATTCCAGGCATTCTCCTCTCAATTGCTTCCATCTTCATCACTGTCTCTTCTTTTCCCCCCAAACTTTTCTCTTCCAACGTTCCGCAACTTTGTGACAGCGAATCGATTTTATATTGTGCTCTTTTAGCTTGCCAGAAGTTCTTGGATCTCGACTGTAGCGAAGGGCACTACTTCAGGATCAGATTTACTTACCGCAGCAGGGCGGTGACAGGTTCACTGGTTTCAGAGAAAACCAGCTGAATGACGTGAGAACAGCCACGCCATGTTACTATCAGTAGTTTTTTTTTTTTCTCGTGAATTTCGCTCTTAAAGAATAATCATATCCTCCTTTGAAAATGAACTCGTAGAGACGGGGAACCATGTTAGCAAAGTTGCATTTTTACTATTTTCGGATGCAGGATTTAGTAGTGCAAACAAACTCCTGTGGAACTGTCTCTGAATGTTGGAAAATACTAATAAGGGAAAAAAATAAAGTCCGAGGAAATCCTCTTCCTAGGGTAACTGAAATCGCTTTTCTTAACAGCTGCAACTTTGGCTAGTAATGAATTGGAAATGAGAGGTGGCCATCACTGCGCATGCGCCCTGCACGATCCACTTCGAAATGCTCAAGGGAATATGCGTTGAAGAGCTTCAAACATGGTCCCTGTTCTTTCGTTACATCCATGTAAAAACTTCCTTATTCATTTTTACGAATAGGTTGAGAGCTGCACAACTGCGTTAGACTTGCAGCCTGATTCCTGCGAGAAAATTTCGGAGCCAACGGCTCAAGTGCAAGAAATTCCATCATGTAAATTCGTTTTTAAAATCCTTACAGTTACTTCGAATCCGACTGTGTGACCCTTCCGTCCCTTACCACTGAGATGCTATGAAAGGTATGTAGATTGAACTTTGAGATACTCCAATTGAAAGAGCCGCAGGTGTAATAGCTAAATCGCGGTTGCCTCATGAAAAGAGCAAGGTTGCTTAGATTCTTGCGTTTTCTGCTTTCACTCTCCTTCATGGGAGGGTCTGGGATTCCGGTCACGCGAGCAGATGCCCTTTTCTGCCTCATCGAATCTCCCTCGAGAGGGAAATTTAAAGGAAAAAAAATTCCAGACTTTCGAGGGACGAGGAGGAAGAATAGAAGTAGAAACTATACTTGCGCCATCGATCTTTATCTTTCCAGTCAGATGCGGTCGATGAGGCGTTTAAGATGCAGGGAAGGCCTCGTCCTCGAGTTTCCTCGATGCTTTTAAGTGTCTCAGTTAATGTGGGGGGAAAGCTTTAATCCATATCAGATAGGATCAAGATCGGAGAGTCGGGCCGGTTGTGTTTATCCAGCCGGATTTGTGGACGCTACTTCCGTTCATCCGGCATTGATCACGCTTGTTCCCCCCCCCCCCTCCGACCAGCCAGCCTTTCCCAGAAAAGCTCATGCATGAAATCCAGTCGTGCCCTTGGACTGGACTTGCTTCCAGCCGCTGCCTTTTCCTACCCAAATCCTCTGTCTACAACTTTCTCACAAAGATATTTCTATGCTTGCGCCGAATCTTTTCCCTTGGAAATCTGGGAGATGAGATGAGTGCACTTGAGCATCCTGACTCAGCATGAGACCGGGAACAGATGGCGTTGTTCGTGATTAGAAAGGTCGATCGATGGCGGATAATGTTGCCAACTTTTCCAAAAGAAATATAGAACCCGGGTGGCATCAAATCATCCGTTTCCTTGAATAGGCCTCGTCAAAGGAAGCCCTTATGTTGCGCGACTTATTGAACATCCTGTACCATATAATACGCTTGGCAGTACTAATGGTGAGTCTCGGATGAAATATGTTGCTCGTCTGGGAAGAGGGTAGTCATGCCAGCGGTTAAAGATGAGACTCGGGCGGACTTCCGTGACTTCCTTCCGTGTCATGTTGAAAAACCTGCCATGGATCTGATGGCGTGTCTTCACATTCGGTGCTCCCTCATCCCCCTTGCCTTCCTCTCCCTATTATGGGGACCATGCGATAGACGAGCGATCCGCAGGAGAGACGGAGAGAGAAGGATCCTACGAAGATTCCCTTCATTATATATCAAATGAAGAGATGCGGTATAAGGAAACGCATAACAAGGACCATGTTTTCATCAGACGACACAGTTTGCGTCACTGCGTGGGTTTGGAGTCTCTCTCTCTTTCTCATTTCCTCTCGACAGACTCAGGGTAGAGTGTATCAAAGGAAAGCAATCATTATTGCTATGATATAGGGTGATGTTTGATCCCGATCCGATTTCCTGTTTGTCAACGTAATCCAAGTATAGTCGGGTTTCCATTTAAACTGTATCGTTCCGACGGTCCTCGACCGGAGAGAGGAGCCAGTTACCTCGAAAATGGAGGAAGAAAACGCGATATTCATTATGAGCTCGCATTTCCTGCTACTGTTTCCTTGTCTCTGTTCTACGAAATCCCTCTTCCTACACAGGCACGGTTCCATTAGCTAGATGAAATAAGGGTTAATGTAGCGGGGAACAAGAAAGGCTCGTCTGCAGATCACTTGGGCGCTTTACATGGATCCCACTTTCGTCTGTTTCTTTTCGCAGCATCTGTTCCTCCGACCGACGGCCTCTCAGGTTCTCTCTTTGACGTGTGTGGTACGTGGTCAGCACTGCACAACGAGACGAACTACGCTAATTCACTTCTGATGGCCATCATTGTATATTGGGTTTAATTTCCATCGCCGACGAAGGAATACAATTCCTAGTCACTCCAGGTCCCATTGGAACAGGCGTTCGAGGGGTTGAAGCATCGAGTCTAGGTAGGATCGGAAGACGCGAAGGGAAATGGAGTTCTTTTCACTTCCTCTCGGTCGTCTCATCTGACAGACAATACAGCAGGAGCCTCCTTCCATTTCTTTACCTTCCTCTTCTCTTCGTCGTCGGCGTGAAATTGGATTCCTCTCCATGAGAAATCCTAGCGTTGCGATGCAAACAGCTCCCTCCTGCCTGTAATCCTTGCGATAACGATATGAGCCGAAGCCTCCACTCTCTCGGTTCAGCACTTTTCCGATGGAATTTATCATCACCTCTGGGAAATACCATGATGATGATATGAAGACGGTGGCACATGTGTTAATAACATATGACCTTGTGACATCCTCCCACTAACCGATCCCCAGTTCTTTCTTTTTTTAACGACCTAGACTCTCTCAAGGCCGACGCCCTTGAGGAAATTGAAGATGCATAACCACATTATAAACGTAATCTTGGTTCTTGTTGGAAACTTTGCGAGACCAGGAAAACGTTCGTAAATTCAGCAACAGGGAGAAACTGACAGTTTTCCTTATTCAGTATGCGGCTACTCATCCCTTTCCCAAGTCTGCAAGGGACACGGTTGAGGTTGAGTAGCATTACAGTGGCGACCTCTCCCACGGCCACGAGCGCTTCTCGGGTGCATATATAGAATTCTGCTAACTGGATATGTGTCCTTTACCTAAAAAAAATCAGGAGGAGAATGAGAAAAGCTGAAGGAAATCTCTGTAAAGAATGGGGTAGAGAGAGGTTGATGAGGTTTTAAGAAACAAAGAGGGAGAGAGAAGAACATAGAAGAGCATTCGTCTGGAAAGTCGAGAGAAAATAAGGACTTGACTTTTTTTTTTAAATCACTGTGTAAATCTCTGTGCATACTTATTCTTCTTTTTTTTTTAAAATTCCTTTTGGGCATAAAAATTCGAAAATTTTGAGCAAATCTTCCGAGATGTGAAAATCAATAAGGGTGTAGGGCAGGGCTTCCCAACCCAGGGGTCGCGACCCCATTTGGGGTCGCCAAGGTCATGTTTGGGGTCGCGAACCGGCAACTAAAAGCCATGTTATGCTTTTTCTTTGCAATTTTAGCGCATAGGTGAGGGAGCCTGTCAAACTTCAGTCAGTGCTTGGGGTCCCGAACGGTACGATCGTGATTTTTGGGGTCGCGCATGAAAAAGGTTGGGAAGCCCTGGTGTAGGGACAGATGATATCTTTGGTTAAGTCTCAGAAATTCAATGAACACACGGCGTGTGTAACTTATTATTTTACTTAAATTTTCAGATACTTGCAGCGCAGTTTAGTTAGCAAACACAAAGTGGTTGTTTTAATCTCTACAAGGCATCTATCGACCATATTATAATATTTCCAGCGCATACATATTATATTGGTACAATGGAGGGCAACCATGATGATGAGGCAAGTCAGGGGCTCTCTTATCACCTTATAGCTCTCTTCTCTCTCCCATCAGCTTTTAAGATCGGTGTGAAAAGCCACAATCTACGCTTTTCAGAACGACAATTTCTTCTTTCGCTCTCTAAGGGAAATGTCATCATTCCAGCACACAAAGGTGGAGCCTTAGTAGTACGGAAGGATAGTCTGTAAATCGCTGAAGCCCTACACAAGCGGTGACTCATCTCATGCTCTGATTCACGTCTCGACTTGTCACCTCCTCTCCCCGTTGACTGCATGCTACTGTGAGAGATCTGATACGATACCCTTCCATCGTCTTTACGTCTTCTGATCCCCATTCCTTGCTCACATCCGAACCTTTACCCCTCCCCATAATCCACGAGTCAGCAAGGCGCCAGAGTGTAAACATTTCTGTCGAACCTCCTCACTCTTTACCTCCACCTCGTGCAATTCCACTCTCATCTCTTCCAATGAACACTTCCACCCTGAACTTCCACAATTGCCTTATTGACAAATTTTCGGCCTCTTATCCACAATGGCACAAACATAATGAAAGCTAACTTTTCCATTCTCCTGTCTGGACCCAACACTATCCTGCTCCTCTCCCTCTCCTCTTATCCAGTGTGACCGACATATTAGGAAGTTTGTTTTCCATCCCAAACTTTGTCCCTCGAGTCCACCTGTTACCTCCTCTCGTGGTCGCCCACACTCTTTCACTTTCCCCATCATTTCCTCCTCCCTCTTCATCAAAGGCCTCAAAGGTAATTTCAAGATCTCACAGCATGCGATCAAAGGATGACGTCCATCTCGTCTCTTGCACTGTCTTCCCCTCCAATTTTACATCGATGAAACTGGACGACGTCTCGTCGTTTCGTTGAGCATATTCATGGAATCTATACTATATCTTCCTAAATCCGAGCCAGTTCCATCACGCTTTAGTTTTCCAAATCATTCCATCAACATTAGGGTCCGAGATCTCCACCATTCGCACCTTTCCCAAGATTCTCGTCGATCTTTTGAAAATCGGCGTAAATTTCGACTTTGTACCTGCTCCCAAACACATCAGGAACTCGCTCATCCGCTTCTTTTTTGGCTCCTGATCTTTCTTATCTCCCCTTCACGCTTTTTGTTTGTTCCCTTGAGGTACCACATGCCGAATTCCTTGCAGGCCTATTTGATTGATGTACTTTGATTTATGAGTTTTTTTCCTACGTATTTTTGAGTGGTACCTTTCATAAAGTGATATTTGTATTTTCAATAATTTTTGAGTGCAGTTATGAGGTAAAGGTTAGATGGGCCTGTCCATAGTGTCGGATGTGGCAGTCGGAGTAATGTATTTGATGCATAAAATGTATTTACCAAAATTACAAATGACGAATCAACATATTAAGGTTGCAAAATTTAGCCTTAGGTAGTGACAGAAAATTCTATTTGCCCAAGTCTTGCATACTCTTTTGCTGGAGGTTTATCTGTGTGAAGAAATATGCCAGACGTGACATTTCATGAAACCTAAGGTTATAGTCACTTGCTCAAGTTCAAGTGGTCACGTTTCTGTGATATATAACCCCTCAATTTAGTATTATGTCCATTCCATATATGAAACGAAGCCCGAAATTAGTAAGTCGCCCTACGATTACAGTACTTGAAAAAGAAAGCAAGGTTATTTTGTGATCGTGTCGAGCGTGACGAGAAAGTGTCGGATGTAACATGTTCTGAAAGTTAATTTATCTTTACCTTTTCCAACTGCCGCAGAGCAGGTGATGATGCCAGCATTGCTGGACTATTTCTGCTGTCTCACTAAAAGTGAAATTTCGTCAATTAAAACGTCTCCATGATAAGACATAACCGCTTGGGTTCTCCTTTGGTGCAGTGGGTGCAGTGCCGAATCTGACATGCCTCAGCCTCTCTGGCTGTAGCAAGGTCACAGACGAAGGGATCGAATTGGTGGCGGAGAATCTTCGACATCTTCGAAGTCTGGATCTGTCCTGGTGTCCAAGGATCACGGATGCCGCCCTTGAATACATCGCATGTGATCTCACCTCCCTGGAAGAACTCATCCTCGACAGGTCTTAGCGTCCTTCGTCTCTTTCCATCGATCCATTCAAAAAGTATTCTCATACATCTCTCCCAGCAAGGGAATCTAGGGTTGCGAATGATCTGATTCTGCCTCTATTGTGGGACAATTTTTTTTGAGGAAAATATTTCGCGGTTTATGGGAAGCCGACTGTTCCTGGGATTAAATTCCCATTTTCACATTTCTTTCTTTACGTTTTGCTCACTTTCCTTTGGTTTGCCACTGCGCTGCTGAAAGACGAAAACTCTCTCTTTATATCCGATTCCCCAGCATGGCATCAACAGAATATTTTGCTTTCCGCTTCAATCAAACTTCAATGCCCGTGCATGTCTGGCATTTCTTTCAATGAGCTCAAGCTCCTGGCATTCACATGCAAGAGATCTTGAAGAGGTGCCAGTGTGAAAACGTGCATGCATCCATGCATGTAGGTATACATATTTGCTGTTCACTGGATGTTTAATTCATAGGACCCTAATTCGCGTTTTGTTTGAGTCTCGATTATCGCGAAAATAAAAGCCACGCGAAAGTAAAAGGATTATACAGTAGCTGGTCCTATTATTCCGACTGCCGTCTCTGAGCTCGTGGTGTACATGAAATGAGGGAAATTAGCCTCGTATGAGGAAAGTCTCTTTCTGATTACGTCTGTCGGTCGCTCAGAGCTGATTTTTTTCCTTCGTCTTTTTCTTCTTGTATCCTTCTGCATCCTTTGAGATGTGGAGTAAGAACCTGATTGGCCCCGTTTCAGTCTCATATTTGTCTTAAGATAGACCTGAATGAGATTCCTGGAAAAGATCGCCTACTGGGGTTGTTTTCGAGTCCTCCAGCTTGAAGTTCAACAAATGCGATGGGAAATGTTTCGAAGCAGCGGCCACCTGCTTACTTGTCGAGATCATTTTCCATTTATTTACATAAGATTTTGACTTCATTTCATGAGTTAATTTTTATTTTCATGTCTGCGTCTATTTTTTAAATTTTATTTTACTGTTTTAATTTGTTAAATATTGACGATGCAGGTCGTTATTGGTGACCGACATCGGCGTGGGGTACCTGTGTACCATGCTGAGCCTGACATCCTTGTCTCTTCGTTGGTGCACTCAAATCAGAGACTTTGGGGTACAGCACTTGTGCAACATGAAGAACCTCCAGATCCTCTCCTTGGCTGGTGAGTTTCCATCAATCAATATACACTGCTTAAAAAAAGAAATTAGTCACCTTTGCTTTTGAATACTCTGGCACTTCTTCGGCGGTTGAATTATTCGTTAGCTATGTTAAGATACCATGTCTCATAAGATTGGTATGAAAATTGAGATTGTCTGATGCTGCATAATTTTCTTTCCATCATTCATGCATGAAGTTCTACAGTGCACTCAATGCCGAACCTTGAAGGCCGGTCCATACGTGCGATACCTTCCGTCTCTAAGAATTCATCCACCAATTTGGCACGGAATGAGCAGGCATTGCTTTCGGTATGAAGTTGGGTCCAATAATCCCTGCATATGGTTGAACGAAGGATCGTAATATGGCATCCCTGTACTTCTTACCTTCTGCACCCCCATTCGCTAATACATATAGACCTGTGCGGGTATCGATGCTGATACTTGCCAATGCCATGACCGTACCATCGCCATAGGATCCCTATTTTGTCACCATCAGACGATGACGACTCCTTGTATCTCAGTATTCATAAGCACGCCGAGAATGAAATAAGCATTCTGAACCAATACTCGTCTATGAATAGTATAGGTCTCTACACGTCCATAATCGGCTCGGGTTCTCTTCACCATTCCCGTTGACTCGTCACATGATCATAATTTGCATGCGAATTTGATTTATGTATTGTATCTGAACACGGGCAGTAATTATTTCAGTCAGGGGATGCCACCTGAGTTTCTTCTTATCACGCATGATCACGAAGAACAAGGAAGCCTTTTGTGTTTGTATTGACAAGGAGGGATGAAATTGAGGCGTGAAAGAAAAAGCAAACATTCACGGGAGGATCAGGTTTCATATACAGGATTACCCCTGTCCAGGCTGACAAAGCACCTTATATCTCCCATTAACCTTGTCCTTATCGTAGACTGCCAAAAATGCTTCTTACTTCTGACAAACGATAGGCCTGGAATTTTTAAGTTTCAAATTCTCTGCGAAACCTGACAACTCCTCGGCTTTTGTTTTCTAAATACGTGCTATTAGCATAGTGATCCGATTTCAAGCGAGTTCGACCTCATTCCCCCTCTTTAATACATGATGAACCCTCTCTTCATCGTCTCTCAGTCTTTGTCAGGAGATATGGTTTAGTGTGTTAGGCAAGGCATGCACTTCTTTCCCCTAATTCCTGATCCTCCCCCATTTCAATTCCTAGTACCCCTAGATAAGAAGCTCCTGACGCTCCCTCCTCGGGATTCTTTGTACATTAGGAAGGATTAGGCCTTCCTTGACGACACAACCGTCGATCGATATTTCTATCCTTTCTAAGATTATGGTTTCAATTTTCGAATAAGCTTATTCTTTGTGCTTCAAGAGAAGGAAATGGTTTCGCGTCTTATGGCCTAGATGGATTCAGAAAGCATCTACGACCGCGACTGTACTACTCCTGCATCTCCAGAAAGTCTGGCACAATTAAGAGTATGTTGAAAACTGAGAACCATGTCGGTATGAAGTTTTAATTCTCTTTTCCCGCATTCAACAGGTTGTAACCAGTTGACACCAGGTGGTCTGTGCACTCTTGCCCAATTGCCCCATCTAATGGAACTGGAATTGACCAATTGCCCAGGTGCCACTCCTGAGCTAATCGACTTTCTTCAAGAGAACATGCCCCGATGCACCATCTTCGGGTGAATCCTCCATTCCAGGATCATTTTCCAGTACAAGACCAAGTGTTCAAGCCATGACACGTTCAAAGGTCATCCTGCCACTCCACACACTCTTGTTTACATGCACAAGTAGGCGATATTGCCGACAGCGGCTGAATGTGATACCATCAGGATCCTGCTTCCTCCACGGTCTATCTGAACAGTTTTTCAGATACTGTATTGTACATCACTTGACTTGACAGCTTTGTGGTTGGGTGTGCCGTAATGAGTGACGCCTGCGGTTTTTATCATAGCCATCCCACCTCTACTGTCTTAAAAGATTGTCAATAGGTGCTGCTCAGGATTCCTTAATTGTAGGCCAGTTCAGGAATGTCCCATACTTAAAACAATATTCATTCTTTGCCCAGAATTTGTCAATAGGTGTTGTTTATGTTACAGCTGATGTTTGGCAGATGTGATTATTTGTGATCTCTCCTTTTTCATTTTAATGTTGTTCTGTCTTTTTGTGATTTCTCAATGTACTAAGTCTCAATTGACCTGGTACTGGATTGCCAACACATCTAGTCATGATTTGAGTCCAGTATGTACTACACCTATTTCAATGGAGTTTAACATTGAGTTGCATGTATGGAATAGAATATTTTAACTGGGAAGCATCCAGGGCGGATTTGAGAGCTATTTTATAATCAGGGGGGAACATCAGAGTTCCTATGTGAGATGAGAATGCCTTTATTTTTTAAAGAGACATGAAGTTTCTACCCAAGTGTGTCATGTTTAAGATGAGAATTCCATTTCAGCTCAAGTAGAGCCTTGATTTCCACCTTGCAGGATAGAATGGACAAAATAACAAATAAATAATATCTCACATCCCTCTAGATGTTCAATGCCATGTCATAGCCTCGTGTTGCGTGAGAATAAAGTCTTCGTATAACTATGTCTTCTTGAACATTCCAAGTTTACCATGTGAATGGAATATCCAAGACTGTCTAACACCATTGTTTTATTGCAAGAGATATCCCTATAAACCAAGAAAAATAATTTCATCGAATTCAAAACAAATACTCCTGAATTGAGTTAATGTCTCTAATAAATTATTGAGTCACAGTCTGAAACACAAATGGATGAACTCACTCACTTGACCACCAAGACAGAAGACCCAAACCTGGTTCATTGATGGAGGCCTGAAACAAAGCAAGTTAGTAACATTCATTACCATATGGACAAAAGGCTTTAATTTATTCAAGAATCACTGTAATTTAGTTAACGTGGGAGAAAATGGTGTCACTAACAATGTTATTGAATGGGGATTAAACAGAATTGACCTTTTTACAGAAACCTATCAAGAAATTGGTATTTTGAGCCTGGTAACCCAGTATGGGTATTTTTACCTCCCCCTCTCCATTTAATAAGGTTTTAGAAACATCAGATTGGATTAGAAAAGTTGACCACTCCTTTCATATCAGAAAAAGTAGATTGCTGTATGCTCAGGTCTTTAGATGTTTCCATGATCAAGGAAGGAAGGAGAGTATTAGGACTTTAAAATGCAAACCATAAAAATTAATATTTCCTGGATACCATCAATGGCTAATGGCAGGTGGGGTTTGTACTCCTAAGCCAACAGGTGGAAATTCCTACTGGAAAGGTAAAAAAACACAGGTTGGGCCAAGACTCAGTCTAATAATGAGCCTCCTTTGAGTACACCACCATATGTTAGATAATATAAGGGACAATAAAAAAAAGTCTTGTCACATGTCAACTTCCTATAGCCCAAAAATTTTGCTGTTTTTATTTGAAGTACTGATTCTTGATAAGTTTTGGTTAGTTTCACAGAGATATCCTGATTGATTCAGGAAGGATGAATTTGTTTTCAGTCAAGTGACTATTGACTTAGTTCTCTTCTCACAATTCAATTGAAAATCAGACCAACAAACAAAAACTTTTGATCAGAGGTGTCACGAAATGACAGAATCCTTACAGAATGACAGACCTGAGTCAGGCCGAGATGGTAGAGACATTGGGGGGATGCTTCCATTATCCTCATAACTATTAGGAGTTCATTGATTCTTGCTAGGAAAGAATAAATTTGAAAAGGAAAGTGATTCAGGGCAGCCACCTATAATCTAACTAAACATCTAAAACCTGAGGTTGTCAAGCCATTCTGAAATAAGATCATGATCTTCATATACAGCATACAGTGAGCTCTCAACAGGAGGCATAGCACATTCTGATCTGATTACATTAATCCCTGTAAGCTGAGACTGATTGAAACCCACAATGGGAAGGCAATGAAGAATGTCAGGCCTAACCCATCTTTGATGCAGTCAGCCATATACAGGAATACATTGTTACATGAGAATGGGTAGATCAAGTCTATCTTATACAGATATGCTTCTCCCTACCCTTCATTCTAGGAACCATTAAGTGCCTACATTTAACCCTTTCACTATTCTGCAATTAAATGTCCTCTCCCTTGTGTAGTGGTAGCCCGAGCAGAGGGCTACCACTACACGAGCAGCACGCGCAACCCGAGTATGTACTTGGGCTAACAGCGAAAGGGTCAAAGCCAAAATGTGAAAGACTGGTGGGGTTCAGCACTCTTCCATGCCTTCTGAAGCAGGCATTAAAAACTGATGTCACTCTTAGCTTATGGCAGAATGATTTATGGAGGGTTCTGAGATTTGTGCTCCATGACCAATTGCTCAACAGCAATAGAAAAGTACATGACCCTAAACTAAAAAATTCTCTTAAACAAACCAATCCCAATCACGATCCCTCAGTATAATTACTGTGCAGCCTCACAAAGAGACACTATTACCTGAAATGAGAAGCAATCTTTTGGGCTGCCATGTGAGGAGACTCATTGAGCATAAAACCATTGTTGCCATAACCTAGCTTTCCCTAGTCCCCATAGACCACAACAGGAAAGCATTAAGACCTTCACAGTAGCACATGATGCTGTTATTAAAATTTTGTGAATTGGCTGTTATAAATTCACCTCCTAAGGTGACACTGACAGTTACAAATACCTGAAAGTCATACCTCTCTGAGATTACATGGAAGAGAGAAAATGCATAGGGTGTTCACAAGTACCACAGGACTGCCATAGCCTCAAACTGTACCAGAAGAACTAAAAATTGTTGAAAAGGAGAGAAGTTTTGAGGACCATCTGGCATTCAAGCCCCAATGAAGAATTTTGGAATGCAATATGGTTAAAAAAAAACGCTCTACTGTTTTCTATGGGAGAAACACAGTTTCACAAATGCAGCAAAAAAAATTATATTAGATACGCAATTGATATTTGACAGTTACATGGCATTGAAATGCTTACCAGCTTTTTTTCAGCCTCCTGCCCAAGTCGCACAATGCCCATTTAGAGGTGAATTAAAGGTGCTTAGAGGTGGATCATTCCACCTTAAGTAAGGTGGATTTCTGTTTTCCACCTGTGGAAAATAGAATTCCACCTCATTTCAGAACATTCCACCTGACTGTCTCAGAATTCAATGAACTTTTCAACTTTAACTTTTTAAGGGACAGTTGGATCCAGCTGACACTTGATAGAGAGGTTCATGAGTCTAAGCAGTTTTTTCACTTCCACAAGATGGCACTGTATCTCAAGAGAGGGCGCTGTTGTTGACAGGGTGACCGCAGGTGATAAAAAAAGCTCCACCATTTTTATCCCTCCATCATATGATTCATATATTCGAGTAAGAAATATAAGATTCATAAACTCTTAATATTGGACATATCGGAGGTGTTGAAAAGATTGCCTTGTTTTGTTTTTTTTTCCAGAACAATTCTCTGAGCCATGTATTGTCCCGTTACACAGTTTACAGGTGGAGTATTACACCTTTTACATAATCATCCTCGGTCACCCGGTCACCAACAGTGCCCTCTATCAAGATACAGTGCCATCTTGCAGAAGTGAAAAAGCCTCTTAGACTCATGAACCTCTCTATCAAGTATCAGCTGGATCCAACTGTAACCCTTGAAAAGTTAAAGTAGAAAAGTTCATTGAATTCTGAGACAGTCGAGCACAGGTCATCACCTCACTTGAGGTGGAATGATCCACCTCTAAGTACCTTTAATTCACCTCTAAATGGGCTTTGCACGACTTGGGCAGAGGTGCTGAAAAAAAGCTGGCAGGCATTTCAACACCTTGTAACTGTCAAATATCGATTGCATATCCAATGTAATTTTTTTGCTGCATTTATGAAACTATGTTTCTCCCATTGAAAATGGTAAAGTGTTTTTTTCTTTTTAAACCACCCAATATACACACTTATAAATCTGCATAATCCAGATACCTCTTACGTAGCTTAAGAGACAGCACCAGGACATTCAGCAATTACAAATTAGATGATTGTTCAACTCCATCCAGTTGACTATGAGTTACTGACTACTTTGTCATTGGTGCTCAAAGGTAATAGCTGGGAAGAAAGGCAGCACAGGGAACACTCGCAACCAGGCAATTAATTAAAAAGGGTGTAAAACCAATAAATTTAAATTATATTGACCAGTTGTGAGTTATCCCTGTGCTGCCACTTTACATTTATTCAGTCATTCCCTGTATCCATGTGGATCCCAGTCATTAGGAAGACAACAGCATTGTGGGCCTTTTCCATCTATATCATTGAGAAGAAAGGGTTAGAGTAGAATGTCCTTTGGTAGGTTTAATTAATTAGCTATAACTAAAAGATTCTACACTTGAATGATGAGTAGAAGAGCAATAAAGCACTCCACCTTCAAATTCTGATCAAGGCAAAATATCCACATATATTTTCTTTAGAAAAACACAATTATCCTCAAAGTTTACAAGGTGTATGCTAGATTTGATGAAGTTTAAAAGCAATAAACATACAGTGAGCAAGTAGGGTATCATAGACTTCGAGGTTTCATTATCTGAGGTTGCCCCTGAGCTGGAGGCAGCATCATTTTTCAGGGGAATGCCACCAGGACTCATCATTGGTGAAGTATCAGTGAATGTCTCAGCTGTCACTCGGAACCGAATCTCCTCTCCTGTGAAAACCAATAAGCTACCAAATCATCAATTGTTTCACTTCCAGTCCATTCAATTCATTTCATTGGCAGAAAGCAGACCTGAATCCATGAAGAGGTCATGCTTCCCATCTTCTGTCTCATATTCCCAAACCCACAACTGCTCCCCCTCATCAAATCGAGAAGGATGTTGAAGGGATTCTGGTGGAATCACGATGTCATCGAAGAATCCCAGGGTCACTGTAGCATCAATAAACTCACTTGTAAATCCTTCCATAGTTTTAAGAAGAGGGAAAAAAGAATTGCACCACTCACCATGAACACCTTCACGGGATGAACTCTTGATCTTGCCAACAAGGATCTCCTCAATGGTGGGGCGAAACACAACACAGCGGAAGTGAACTTTTGTATGGGATGCACCATCTCCTGGTATGATGTAGGATTCTTCCATCTTCATAATGTCAAAGACCATGATGCACAGACCAACGTTAAGCATTACCTGCATAGAAAGTACAGTTCATGACCACTCTTTTGCAGGAGCATCTGCAAAAATGCCAATGATCCAAAATGACTTATGATGGTCCAGTATTTTTCATACTAGAAGATTGCTTTGAATTGGAATTCTTTGCTATTTATTACCAAATGGTCTATTTGAGCAGAAGTGACTTACTTGCAAACAAACAAATAACTTTGCAGTTGTACTCCCATGGAGAGGACATTTGGAGATTACCTAACCAATGAGGGGTACTCTTACGTGTGAAACTTTTCCCCCTCCAAATCTTTTATAAAGGTGATGGTGCAATTATGTATGCTAAAGACTAGAGCCAAGTGGCAAAAAAAGTTGGAAGTTATGCCATCTACAACAACATTTAGGCAAATTTACCAGTCAGAAGCTTTTATATGAAAGTTAACCTCTTTAGACAGGAAAGGAGGACCTTTATGGCAGTTCATCTTCATACACTGGAATTTCCTGCATCTAATGAAACGAAATGGGGACCACATCTGCCCTTTGTGCCATAATACTGAAACTCAGAAGCACTTTTTGATGGATTGTGAAAGGTTACGTCATTTAAGGCAAAAATTTCCAGAACTAGTTAGACAAAACTCTAACATGACACTTCTGAGTTCCTGCTGGATACATCCACCCTGTTGAAGGTTGTCAATTCCTTTCCATGCGAAGCAATATGTTCTTGGAAAGCCAGCATAGATAGATGTTCACATTGTTTATGATGCCTTTGATGATGTCCATATATATGTCTCTTTGCTTCTTACGTCTTTGCCCCTCGTGGCAATTCAAATTGATTGAGACCGATAAACTTGAATTGAATTGATACAAAGTACAAAGATCACATTACTCTGCTGAAGCATACTTTCTTCTGACCTTTTAGGACAGTTCATCTATATCTGAGATCCCATGGCTGATGCATTCAAAATATATTTACTAAGCATACAAGTACAAAAATTATTCTTCCAAAGGGAACAAGAAATGAGCAATACCCAGAACAGTGATTGGCACTGCAAACAAAAAAATAAATAAAATCATAAATCCCCTTTGAATTCTCTTTCTTTTGGCACTGGATTCATTGCTCTAATCCAAAAATTACAAAAGTTATCACAGTTTTAAAATAGGGAGTTACTTTCCAACCACCCTGAAAATTGGTTAGAAGAAATTTATGATTCAGCACTATGAAATTCAGCTATATTTAGCAATGCAGCAAAAGATTAGGATTCCAATCATAAATTATTTTGTGAATTCTGGACAGGAAAAGCTAATACGTATTAATTATTTTGTGAATCTATTTGCAACTTTGAAATTCCATTTTAAATATTAAAATTCCACCTCAAATGGCATTGAATATAAGATTAGGCAATACTGGATCATAGGTTCTCTGCTGAAATTAATATCAATATGGAGTCAGTTCTTTTTTTGCTATGCATAATGACTCAATGCAACACTTTAAATGATCTCTGAGACTAGAAAGAATTTATATAACTTTGATTCATTTCAGACACTCTTCAAATTATTCAATATGACTCAAGATTTAAAAATTCTACCAGTGACTTATAATCAGATTTGAGGTTGAAGAAATGAAAAGGTTGAAATCTTGAAGAGTAGCAATTTAGATGTTGCTTAATATATTGAAACTTTAGGACTTGGATGAATACAATGTGAAGAGCAGAGATACAGTAGTATTTTCCCATTACTAGTCAAGGGATAAATGGCATTACTATGCACTGGCCATTAGGGATCTGCAAGTGAACAATATTTTTTCATTAGTTTCTTCATCTGCTTTCACCCTCCAACTCCCTAATGCTTTCCACATTCTTTCCTTGGCCAATGAAACACCTACAAAACACTTGCATACTTTGTATTTTCATTGTGCAATGTATTCCCAATTCCTGTTAAACAAAAATAAAGAAAGAACTTTCTCAATTCAAGTTCACAGTTCACATGCTTCACAAAAAATATATACAGGGTGTCCCATAAGTAAATTTCCTGAAGGATTTTCAGCTACACTAATTTATTATTAACCTGGGTTTATAATTTATGTTACCTGATGTAACTCTTTATTTTTAGACCTTATTGATGGTTGTATTTGTTTACTGCTGGGATTGCTCATAGATTTCCCAAAGCATAAAATATTTTAACCATTGGTTAAATAATCAGGTAAACCTACTTATGGGCCACCCTATATATACCAATAGTTGGTTTCACATAACAAAAAAGCATTAGTGAAACATTAAACCCTGGAAAAATAACATTACCATGAATCTCTAGCAAGACATGGATAAGACTGACTCAAACTTAGCTAATGTATTTTAATATATCCAATTGTGACAAACCCATCACAAGAGACTGTGGAGAATTTCAGCTTGAGCAGACAATTATTAAGATAAATTATATATTTCCAATGATAGGAAAATAAATTTGAAAGCTGGTATCAGATTATGTGCTGATGCAAGGAAAGCAATGAAAGATTGGCCATTCTGGAGAAGTGGCCAAGAATTAAATCTATAGTTTCAAAAGGTTGAACAATGACATAAGTAATACATTTTTTTTAGCTAGCTAGAACTTCATAATGCTGCTGCTTGTCAAGAGGTCAATCAACAGTGCAATTCCAACAAATTAGAAAATACTGACTGCATGCTAAGCCAGTAATTACATAAGCTAAGTCTCTAAGCACAAGTAGGCTTTGAGAGGAAGTAGACTCACTGTATTTGCAAGCTTCTTGTTCAATTCCTTCACTACTGCCTCTGTCAGCTTCAGATTGAAATTCCAAGGTGGAATGCGCACTGCATGCTTCATCTCCGCCAATACAAACATTTTGGAAATCACACTTATTAATCTTTGCAAGAATTAGTTTTTTGTCTGCTTTTTTCACATATGCCTTATGACAACCACAAGATTACTGCACTGAATCTGAGGGCATAGGCAGGTCCTAACTAGGCACACCAAGGACGAGATTTTGGAGAATTGGGCAATACTTCAGTTCATGAAGACATCGATTGGACTGCTTGCCCTAGGTTCAAAACTGCCATCAGCATCATACTCTTCCTCTTCATCATCATCCTGAGCATCAGATTCTTCATCATCGTTGTCATCTTCTTCCTCTTCTGTTTCAGTATCACTAAGTCGGTCAGCTTGTGTCTTCCCAATAAAAGTGAGGTTTGAATACTTGGTAGCTATGGCATTGATCCAGGCTTGCCTTTCTTGTTCAAGCTCAAAGAGTTCTTGCTCTTCATCATGGTGTGAATCCAATCTTAAAGATGATGGAGTATACAATTTTGGTGTCAAGGATGGAAATTTTGAGAAGAAAGACATTCTTCATTTGATTACATCTAATTCCAGAGTCAAGCACATCTCACCCTATAATGAAAAAATTACATAAATGACAATTAGCATGTGGGGTGTTCATAAAACTGATACAGACTTTTAAACTCCTTTTGGTTTGTGAACTCCTTTTCACAGCATTAAGCATATAGAGCTCTGGGATTTTTTCATCTCACCTGCATTTGCTCTAGACACTTGAGTTATTGCCTGTCTACACTATGCTTTTTCATGCATAAATTTTATGGGTTCATTACATGTGTTAACTGCCTTCTTAACACTTTCCCTGGCAGGGAAATCTGAACACCTGATCTGAATGAGGATGTTGACCCAATAATGTGCCAACATCAGGGAAAGGGTTAAGAATGGGGATTGTACTTTGAATGATGAGGATGCAAGTCCACAACTGCATGCATGGGAACAAAAGATTGGTCTATTCTGTGAGTTTGACTCAAAGAGATATTCCCCCCAGGATTTCCTTCAACAACCTTGAACATATGCAATTGCTTCTCCTTCTGCACACCAATCATCCCATAAATTTGGAATTTTCTCTCATGTTTAATAACTTGACTTTTTCCTTAATTACAGGATTACAGTCAGAGATAGTAAAATCCATAGGAGACCAAAAGGAGTTGCACAGGTGGTGGACACTATATTTCAGGACCCCTAAGATTCAACTAAATAGAGGAGGGAGGGCAGAATGGACAGAAGCAAACTCATAGAGTGGAATGAAGTTCCATACAGTCTTGCATCATTTATTCAATTCATGAATTAGAATGGATTGTGTGAAACACCCTTTAGCTGACACTTTGTGTGCAAGCATCTGGCATCTTGTGATCAGTGTGGAAACCTCCCTCCTACAAGCAAGGAGCCGGTAGGATGCTATAGCTCCTGAATAGGGGGCATATGGGATTTAAGATAGGTAAGTAACTGGTAGCCATGATGAGAGGAAGTGTAAGTGGGAAGTATTAGTGGAATTGGGAATTTTAACCCATTGAGTGGTATGGCCATACCGGTACTGCCACGTGCTCCTGGTCCTGCAGGAGTGTGGCTGTACCAATATGTCCTGCATCTTTGAATTCAAAATGCCACATTTGTACAGATGCCATCAGCTTGCAGTAAAAACTGTTTATTTTAATGAGTAAAAAATTCTGAGCGGAAGCCCATCTGCAAAAAAAACTCACCCCTGGGGGCATGGCCAATCAGAAAAAAACTCACTGCTCAATGGGTTGAGTAGAGTCCCCCAGGGCTAGGCCTGTGAGCCTCCTTTGTTTGCAATTTACATTAAGGATTTAAATCAAAGCCTAACAAGTAAAATCAGTGAGTTGGTAAAAAGAAACATGTATATAGGTTTCTCCATCATGGGGAAAGAAGACAGGAGAGAGAAGCTTTTAGACAAGAGAATTGAATGGCTCATAAAGCTCAAAGACAATACATGTGAGATTATTCTCCTCAGTCTTAATAACAAAAAGTCTATGAATATGTTTAGAAACCATAGGTTGGAAAATTTAAATTGGGAGAGAGACTAAGGATCATGACTGATGAGGAGCTGTTCTCTCAGTGTCTATAGGCAGTGATAGCTCAACATGACAGGATTTTTAAGATTTATCTGAAACTTCATTGCCATAGTGAGCTCATGCTTTATTATCCCATAGCATGCAGCACTGGTAAGACCCCATTTAAAGTACTGCATTTGACTTGAAATGCCTGCAAAAAAGTGCAATATAAAGGCACTTCAGAGGATTCAGAGGCTAGCTACTAACATGATGAACATGATGACTTCCATATGAACTGTTCAGATGTGCTGAGACTCCATTCACTCAAGATAAAGATAGTAAAGGCAAACCTCATCCAGAGGCACTGTTCAAGATCACTATTGAAGGTAACATGAATTCATGCTGGATGCTGATTACACTTGATGCACAGAACTGAAAGTGCTAAATCAGTAAAGAAATCAGTAGTGGAGAGTTTAGTAGTGTTTCCCAACTGAACAGTAACAAAATGTGAGGAACCAGTTCAAGTTACATCAGCTGAAAGTTAGACTGTGATAAGACACTTTCCTTGTAGGGTAGGGAATGTGTGGAACATCTTAGGTGATGACTTCGTGATTGCCCCTTCTGTGACCAGCTTGAAGAGGTTAGATGCCTTCATCAACAATGCTAAAAAGAAAGGGGGCAATATAGGTTTAAGTAACGATAAAGGAGATGGTTGTTATGGTTATGCTCCGACTAAAATATCTACTTTTACAGGGCCATATATAGTGTCTACATGATACGAACGCTCAACCGTGTCATGGAATGTCAATATAGGCAGAAATGCATAATAACGTCCCTTCTCAATCCTTGACATTTAAACAGCAACTACGCGAATAGCGAAGGACTTAGGCCCGAATGCACAAACCTCACTTAGGGGAGATTAAGAGGTCTTCAATCTAAAGAGCTCTTTTCCCCCATTGGAGTCCATGTATTCTTAAAGGACCGTTAACTAAAGGAGGTTTCAGTATTAGGACCTTAGTCATGCAGGCTTAACTAACTTCCACGTCTTCCGCGTGTACCCACGCTTCCTAACAGGAACCATATTGCCGGTTGAAGTGGGCGGGGCAGCGATAGGCAGGACACCGAGAGCCATCTTTCGACAATCGGAGTTAACGGCACCAGTAGACTTCAAGGTGAATTCCTCTTGGGGACTTAAAAAAACGAAGCTCCAGGTGCTGGCAGTGGTGAAAGATACTTTGCAAGAAGTCTTGGACCCATTTTCTCGACAATCCTGATTCTAGAAAATTACAGAGATGTCTGACGAGAAATGTAAAACCGTCTGAAGATTTTTCAGTTGCTAGTGCTGGTCAGTACTTAAATCACAGCTTATGTTTTAATTAATTAATTTATTCTGTCTTGGACGCCCCCCCACCAGGAATATCCTCGTGTTGAGACAACTCCATATATGTCTATATTATTTAGCAAGTTCGTGCAGTACTTCTCTCAGAGTACTTTCATAACTGCTCACACCAAGAACTACGTACCATAACTCGGGAAGCTGCACTCTCGCCTTGAGGGAAGCCTATCAGTGCTCGTATCTCATTTTTCATAGAACAAACACAACTGGATAAGTGTGGACAAATGAGGTAACAACTGAACCACTGAGAATCTCACTCGTCTAGGCGGTCTTTCTCTTCGGAATCTGAAGTATTTGGCTATCACTGGCAGTACTAAACAGTACTTACAGTGAGGTCTGAGATATGCCTTGACTCATCTTGAGACGAGTGTGGCCCATCCCTCCAAGGGTACCTTGCTGAAAAAAAAAAATTTTCCCCGATAAATTCTAGGGTGCAACTTTCTGCCATCATTCCTTCTCACGGTACACATCCGCTGTCATTATTTATAATGGTTCTTGTTGGTACTAATGAATGACTTGGGGGTAGTGAGTCTGGTTCTTCATCAGGACAGAGGATCGAAACCGGCGAAGTCAGTCAGAAATTTAGTTCCGGCGAGTTTAGCTTTCCTGTCCCGATGTGTTCGGGCTAGGAGACCACCGAACGTATAATACATTCCCGTCTCGAGAAGCCCGTATTTTCGGAGAAACTACCCTCAACGGAATGAAGTTTTTCGCTTGACTCCGACACTCGTGCAATGAGGAAAATCCCACGCACTGGTGTTCGAGTCGAGTGAAAAGTTTTCCGACTCAAATGAAAAACACGGCAAAAGCTGGTTTAGAGGATGGGAAGTAAGTGTGATATTGAGGGACCAAAAGCGTTTTGCACTTGAGGGCATGAACCGAGGAAAGATAAACGTGGGTGAATGGGGATCACATTGGCGAGTCTTGCAGCGTAAGGGTCAAGAGGAACAACTCCACTTTCTCCGTCATTTCACAATCGCAGTGTAAATTGAAATGGACTATATATACCGTGAAAGTTATATAGAAAGTTATAAAAAAAAAGTGGGAGAAAGTGCCCAAATATTATCTCATGCGAAACACAAAGGGCCGATTGCATGAACGATGTTTTCCCGGTGTTTTGCGAAAGTCATCGGCTAACCGATGTCTAAGGCCAAAAATGGATTGCACGAACGCTATCTTCCTTTAACCATTGTCTAACCATCGGCTGACAAAAACTGAAAAATACGTTATTTCCAGACGGCATGTTTTGCCGATATTTATGCCAGCGCTCGTGTACTTTCTCGATCAGTATAGCAATGCAGTGTACTGATGAAGCACAATGGATTATCCTTAAGGAGCGCTCGATATCAGCGATGTGCTTTCGTCGTCGCATGGGAAAAATAAACATCGGTTCTAGGCTTAATCCTTTTGAAGAATATGTCGATGAGAACCTTCGCGTGAGATACCAATTTGGAAAGGGATCAGAGAATGACGTCGACCTGCTTCGCACCGAACTCGAAAGGAACAAACTAACGGAAGGGATCCCTTAACTTTACATCAACAGATAAGAACAATCAGGGTTCGTGTGCAATGAATCGTGATTTATTCACGTACCCATCCCCTGAGTAATTAATTAGTATGACTCGAAAGTAAAGTGAATGTCATGAAAGCCTTTCGATTTGTATGTTCTGCTAACCCTTCGATTTTATAGTGGCGTCGATTCCTGGAAATGGAATGGCGCAGGCCATTGCTGATTAGCGTCTCTCATTAGATTCCCAGGAGGAAAAACGGAGTAGTTGTTCGAATAAAATTATTTGATATTCCCGGATTTCCAGGAATGATCGGTGCTATTGACGACCGTCGTATCCGAATAGAATTCCCATTCAACTGTTATCAATCGCAAAGGCTTCTATTTCATCGATGTCCAAGCAGTGCGCGATGAGGAAGGGATTTTTACTGACGTTGTCACTACATACGAGGGTCACTCAATAAGTTATCTACCTGAATAAGAAAGAAACATCCGAGGGGAAAAATAACACTTTATTTTTCAATGTAGTCACCTTTTAACTCAACACACTTATTCTACTTTGATTCCAAGGATTTTATTCCCTGGGAATAGAAGTCAACTTCTTGTCCATCAAACCAATCAGAAACGGCAACTTTCAGCTCTTCATTGCATGAAAATCTTTTTCCCCGCAAAAATTTTTTCAAGTGTCTGAACAGAAAATAGTCACTAGGAGCCAGATCCGGGCTGTAGGGAGGATGGTTGAGCTCCTGAAAGCCACACTTCCTCACTGCTGCCTGAACTTTCCATGATTTGTGGACGGGCGCGTTGTCATGGAGAAGAAGGACCCCCCCTTGACAACTTTCCTCTGCGTTTTTC